TCACCAAGCCAAATGATTGAGATCAATTGCCCATTTGTGAGACTTCACCTTGTGTGTGTGTGTATAAATTAATGTGAGAGTTGGTTGAAAGAACTTGTTGATTGATGAGTATTGCATCTTGCTTAAAGGCATAAGAGTGTTATGATAGGCCTTGAGAAGCTAGAGTATAATAGAGAGTATGCTCATGCTACTTGTTATGCTTCTTTAGGATGTTAAGTTGAGCATTAGGAAGTGTTCTTTTGGTTATGAATTCCCACCTTCAAACCTCTCCTTCTATGAGTTCTTGAAAGTTCACTTGAGGACAAGTAAAGAGCAAGTTTGGGGGAGTTGATATCTTGCATATTTTCATACTTTTAACCATCCATTTTATGTTTACATTGATCATTTGGTGCATTTAGAGTCTATTTAGGTTGCATTGCACTTGTGTTTGTGTGTTGGCAGGTATGGAGAAGTGCTAATCAAACTTAGAGGCTAAATGGGTTCCAAAATGTTGAAAAGAGCAAGAAATGGTGCAAAACCGGGCAAGTACCGCGACCTAGAGGTACCTGCGAATTGAGACTTCACCGCGGGCAAGTGTCGCGGGCTCACATAGGCCGCGATCAAGTGGCGAAAACAAGGCAGGGATGTATCGCAGGCTACGCCGTGGGAAGAGAGGGTCGCGGCCAAAAATGGGACGCCGCGGGCTCCTACCGCGGGCAAGGGGAGGTCGCGATGAAGTGTCGAAAACTTGGCAGTGTTATTTCGCGGGCTACCTTCGCGAGATGTGGAGACCGCGGCGAGAAAGAGATCACCGCAGGCTATGTTCGCGGGCAAGAGAAGGCTGCGGCTTAGTAGCGAATCTTAGAACTATAAATATGTGTTAAACTCATTAATGGATCTAATCTTGTTTTCTCTCCTAAACACTTGATACTTTGGTGAAAGTTTATTCCTTTGATCTAAGATTTCATCTTTTATCTTGTGTTCTTGAGATTATTTAAGTGTTTCTTTGCTTTCTAATCATGATTTATCTTAAATCCTTAATAGGTTTAAGTGTGATCATGGTTATTAGTGAGTAGACATCTTTGGATTCATGGGTTAGGGAGATCAAAGGGGGATTAAGCTAGATCTAGGGTGTTAGAGTATAGATCCATCTATTTCCTTGCTTGTTGGGTGATCTTAATGCTATTTTAGAGTTGGCCTCTCTAGAATTGATCTTTAGGTATTTCAAGCCCACAAGGCNACATTCTCATTTTGAAAGAAAGCTTGATCTTTATTGCTTATTTAGTATTCTCTTACTTTAAAAACAAAACCATTTTAATATTGATAGCACTTAGATTAAGCTTTGTCTTGTAATCCCACTGGTTTATGATTGCTTAGATTTGGTTCGATATCTTTTATACTATAACATTTGAATAGGATCTTAAAAACTCCTATTATCACAAGTACACGCAAAATAGCAAGTACTCACGTTATGCCCAGCCCTAGATGTGGTGAAGTCAATTTAGATAAGTACATATTAATAAATTTGAAAAGTAAACAAACATAGTCAGATGGGTTTAGTCTGGGCCGCAATATATGATCCAGTAAGCTCATCAATGTTTAAACTAAACCCTGCCCGGCTGTACTAGTAGACAATCAATACAATTAAAATAATTTTTACGTTTTCCAAAATTACCATTAATCATATGAATAATTTTTTATTTTCATTAATTAATAACAATATAGTTTTTTAGCTTTTAGGCCTAAAATAATATAATTATAGATTTTATTAATGTGTTAAATTCACATTCTAATTATTTATGAATTGTTTTCTCAAAAATAAACACATCAGCCTTAATTAGTGTAGTTAGAGCTCGAAATTTTGAATTTAGCATGCGGGTCCCGCCCTGTTTGACCTGCCATGGAACAGGTCGATCAATTTTGAAAAATTTAAGTTGTGGGTGCGGGTAAAGTGTATTTTACAAGGGATAGATGCGGGTTGTTCTAATTTCAATTGTGGGCACCCGGTAATTTGCAAAATATAATTTTTTAAAAATTATACTAAATTTGTTTAAAATAATTATATAGTTTTTTAAAAAATATTAAACATTTAATTAAAGTATACTATTTAATATTATTTTTTAGAAAAAAACTAAGAAAATAATTCTTTTTATTGTTTAATAATTATCTGTGAGTCTCGCAGATTACCCACAAGTGGGGCGGATGCGGATAAAATATATTTTCTTTGCAGGTCAGGCGGGTCAGGCGGGGTGAGTTAACCCGCTTCCCAACACCAAGCGTATTTAAGTAATATTAATTTTCCGAAATAAAATTACACAATTACATACAATACATTTACATAGATATTGATGATAACAATAAATTAGAATATGCATTAATTTTAAAAAATTATATTAGATAGTGACATTTTATATCATCAAAGCAAAAACCTCTGTAGATAAAAAAATAAAAATGGTATCTGCGTTTTTTAAGCGCGGATAAAAAAATCTAGTCTTATATATTAAAACAGAAATCATGACTTCATTTCATGTGTTATCTTTTAAAAAATAGAATATTCTTTAGAAAGATTATAAAGATTATCAAATGTTACCTAACTTAATGATAATATCTTTATCTTTTTATTTGAAATACAAATGAAATAAATCTAACAAAATCTTTTTTGGCATCTTTTTAACTTATATTTCGTAAATCATTGAATTTAAATTCTAATTATAATAAATGTCATTAAAAATTACTATTTTATTTATAAATGAAAATTTAAACTCATTTAAAATATTTAAAATTATATTTTAATGAGAATAATAATATAAATTGATCGAGTTTCAAAAATACTTATTTACAAATTTAAATAGATTATGTCAGGAACAAATACTGAAATTCTATTTCAAATATAAAAAATAATATAGTATATATTTATCCATCCATGCTATTAAAATGAAGTCATGAGTTATTTCATGTATAATTTTTTATTTTCACTATTCTTTAAAATAGTTATCAAATTTTACATAATTTAATTATAATATCACCCATATCTTTATTTTTTATTTGAAATACAAATGTTTTTGTTTAAGAAATTAAAATTTATCTAGATAGCACTATATATTCCTAAAAACTATATAAAAAACTATATACTAGAGTTTTATCCACACAGATTTTTCATTTTATAAATACAAAAATTTGATAATATTATAAAAAATTTAATTATATGATGTACACTTAATGTTATATATCATATAACTCTATAGTTTTAATTTATATTCTTATTGATTGTTATTACTTACTAATATATTTTTGAGTTTTTTACATAAATGATAATCTGAAATAATCAAATATATAATCTTCTTTAATATAGAGTTTTATTTTTTTATTTTTTTTTATTATTTTTTTTTACAAGTCTATTTATTTATCTATTTATAAACAATCCATATAAAAATGGTCAGACCCAAACGGGCCCAAGCCCAACCCCACTTCCCTAACACAACTCAAAAACGCAGAAACAACCTGCAGCTACACACTAACCAGCAAAATAATTAAACCAAGCAGCCAAAACTGAGTAATGCCCAGGCAACACAACCTGTTTCCTAGCTAAAGGATCCAACCTGAGTCTGATGATCTGTTGAGTCTCTGCAATAATGGTTCTTGGAGGCTTTTCCTCACCACTATGAATTCTCTTGTTTCTTTCTTTCCAAACTAAGTATAAAACTGCTTGGAAGACAAGTCTAATAATCAGAGTCAAATTACCATCTCTTGCAGGAGCAACCAACCATCTTAACACTTCCTCAAAATCCGTTGGAGGGGACATCTTTTAACATTTTAACATTTGTTTAGATATACTATAGATAAATATTTTTTAATGATATCTTGTGTTTAAAATGATACTTTAACCTAAGTATTTTATGAGATTTTATAAATTAATATATTATTATTTATTAATATTTTTTATAAACTATAAATTAAAAGTAAACACGCACAGTTGTGCAGATCAAGATCTAGTCTATACTATTAAAAGAGAAACAATCTTGAAAAATATACTTATACAATTTTATTTGGACTCTTTCTTTGGGAACTAATAATTTAATGGCTCTACTTAAATTTCGCCCAACAATATATTACCATAAATTTCTCTAACAATATATTGCTTTAATAACAAAAATATATCTATTATATTAAAAGAGAAGTCATGACTCACTTCATGTGTGATTTTTTTAATTTGGACCATCTTTAGAAAGTTTATAAAATTTTATATAACATCATTATAATATCTTTTCTATCTTTTCATATCGTTAGTTTTTATTTGAAATACAAATAAATAGTTTTAAGAAAATTCTGACAAAATCTTTTAAAAAATCTTATAGAATCTTTTCAAGATATAGTTTCAAAATATTTGATTAAAATTTTAATTATCATAAAATATAATTAAAATTCTAATTCATTTTTGTTTACAAAACAAACAATCAAAGTTATGTACAATACTTTTAACAATATACCAAAATTTTGTTTACGTATTATGTAGGTCAAACTTAATTAACTTTTTACATATATTACAAATTTAGAAATAAAAAAATATAAATTAGTAATGTTACATAATAATGTTTTAAAAAATGTTAATAAAATACAAATTTAAAAATTTTATATTAATAATATTATAAGCCACATAAATATTATTATAAATTGGATAGTATACAAAATCAAACTATATCTATTTATTGATAAATTTTACTCCCTGCATTTTTTTAATATATGATGTTTTGGATCATTACACAAAGATTAAGAAATTTAGATTCTTTTACAACAGTATTTTTACAGATATAATTTTAAAATCATTCAACCAATTATTAAAAAAGAAGTAAAATTTTATTGGTTGAACATTTTTCAATAAAGTTAAAAGTAATCTTAAAACCTTAAACTATATCTTAAAGTTTCAAAAGATCTTATATTTTGAAACAAAATAAATCTTTTAAAACATCATCTAATTTGAAACGGAATGAGTATGGTCTATTTTCAAATATTTTCGTATTAAAATACCCGCACGGTTGTGCGGGTCGAGATCTAGTAATCCATTAAATTAGATATTTTTCCCAATTGAAATATTTTGGAAATACAACATATATGGTAGGACCCTCATCTAATATATGGGCTTTGCATGCTTAAGTTTGAAATTAATAGAACTGATCATAATTCATCAACCACATATAAACAAGAAAAAGATAAAATAAATATGCTAATCTTATTACTACAAATCAACTAAAATATTTAAATTTATGTACTATATAAAGTATACAAGAAGATTTCAATTTTTTTAAAAAATATTATCAGATTTTCTGGATTTTTGTCGGATCAACCGTTGTTAGTTCACGGGTTAATGACGGGTTTTTAAGTTTTATCAAATTTGTAATAATTAAGTTTTCATTAAATCCAAATTTTATGGAAACATATTAGTTGGTAAAACTTCTAATTGTATGCTATATGAAAAAATAAGCCAGATTTACTGGACCGCGGCTCCGGATCAAACATGAAAATTTTGCTTATATAATGTGTAGGTATATAATATATACTGGTAGGCTTAAAGTACGCATATCAATTAATTTAATTCATTACATCTATGACCTATCAAGAAAACCTATTTCACCAATCATAAATCTAATATTATTAATTGGTCTAATTTTATTAATTTGTCTAAACCTATTGTATGTTTCTAAACAAAATAAATAAATTATCTTCATTAAATTTGTAATAGTACAATACCTATAAATTAAATGTATAACATAAATACAATGAATTTACTTTATACAATAAATCAAATATATGAGAAGTTAAATCAATTTTAAAAAAATATTGTATTATTTTTGAGTTTTTTCCGGATCAACCAATGTCGGTTTCACGCGTGAATGATAGAGTTCTGAGTTTTTTTGAATTTCTAATTAATAATTATCTACATTAAAATTGTAATAGTATTGATCATTACAAAACTATAAATTAAAATGTATAACATAAATACAATGAATTTATTCTACACGATAAATCAAATATATGAGAAGTTAAATCAATTTTTCAAAAATATTATAATATTTTATAAGTTTTTACTAGATCAACCAGTGTCGATTTCACGAATTAATGGCGGGGTTTGAGTTTTATTGAATTTTAATTAATAAATTTTCATTAAATCTAAATTTTATGGAAACATATGCAAAACTTCTGACAAAATGTTACTTGAAGAGCATAGACCATTTCGGGTCATATAAGACGACAAGTTTAAAAATGCTCGATTATTTGTGAAATTCAGTTCAATTTTGGTTTTTGTTTTTCAATTTGGTATGGTTCGGTTCCGGCTTCAAATAGACATATTCAAACCTATACACTATCTTATATAGAATTCAATTGATTTTTTATATATATATTTTCAAAAACAAATCCGCGCTTTCTAAGCAATTTGTTTTTATTTTTGAAATTAAAAATAAATTATTCTAATTGCAGTATACTCACATAATATTAAATTATCCAAAATCTGCCAAGTAAACCTTAAATATTATCGACTTAACAAATATAATTTTTATAAAATACAGTAAAAATATAATTAGGGAGAGTATAAAAAGGCATTCGGGTCAAGTACGGATAGGTTTCTTACGGGTTTGGATCCCGTAGGTCCTAGACATTTGGACCTAATAATATATTTGAATTTGTTTGGTTTGGTTTGGGTCGGTTTTTATAGGTCTTAGTGGGTTTGAGTCTATAATCAAACACCTACAGTTTTGATTGGCTGATAATTACAAATTTAAATTAACTATATATTGTATATATGACTGGTTGATAATTAAGAAATTAAATTAACAATACAATGGTATATACGATATTGTATATGACCAATTTTTTAAAAAAAATCGATTTAAATGTATTGAGCAATTCTTTTAGTTAACGATATATTGTATATACGATATTTAATAACAACATCTGAAAATATTTATATTACTTGTCAACAAGTTTTATTTAATATTACAATTAGATTACTATTAACTCTTATCGCTAACCTACTTTAATTGGATTACTATTAACTCTTAAAATTTTAAAATAGTTTATTCTAATTGCAATGCATTCGCATAATATTCTTTATTCCAAAAATTACATATTTTTATCAAATTCTTAAAATATTTTGAACTACATTTGTGTAACATAAATCTGCTATACCACCTACCTGTTATAAATATACGATCAGTTAACCACGATATTCATCAGACCTACAGATACAGAAAAAAATGGCGAACAATATGTAGCTAAGTTTCTTAAACAATATCAAACCACACAAGACGGCATGTCACATCCAAGTAAGATCATTGATATATAGAGATATTTCATGAAAGACGTTAAAGAATATATATATATATATATATATATATATATATATATATATATATATATATATATATATATATATATATATATATATATATGGAACTAATCATGTATGATGCTAATGTAAGTTTAATATCTTATATAGATTTGTGATTTCTATATATTGGTCTTGTTACGTACAAGCTAACTGATATAATTATTTTTATCTTCTTAAACGGAACCAAAATTCATGCCTCGTGTAACAAGACACACATTAGTAAATTGGCCAAACATGCTTGCCTCATTTTTATTAGTTTGATAGTTAATATACATATAAATAAATTGCCATGAATCTTTCTAATAACAATATATTTACCTCATTTTATAATTTTTATCTAATAATTTAGACGTTTTCAGTTTAAATCGGATAGTTAAATTAAAATATCTGATAATTCCAAAAAAAAAATTAATATAGTTATCCATTTGATTATTGGTCCGGGGTAAAAATTCAAGGGTCAAAATCTCATATACAAATTCATTTAAAAGAATTTATTTAATTTTGAAAATAAACCTATGTTTTCTAAACGCGGATCAAAATCTAGTAATGATATTACCTCTCCCACATAGAAATCCTTGAATTGGATACTCATCTGTGCGGTAGTATAAAAGGGGACCAAGATAGTACGTTGAAAGGTACTTACCTTGACGGAGTCAACTCTTGATCACGAAGATGGTGGTGGTCGAAGCTAGTGTCCTCCATTGCTCATAACGGAGGGTGGCTTAGCTTAAAGTCTCCTCAAGGGGAAGAGCCTGATTATTTGTGTGGTAATGGAGGCAGTCGTTCGAGCGGCCCCTCCCATTTTCCAGTAGTTCAATTTTTCTTTGAATGACTGAATCGGTTCTCTCTGGTTAGCTAAACCATCTGGTTTTGTTCATGCGACCCATCTTTCCAGTCAAATTTTTGGTACCTCACTACCTTAGAACATATATGTATCCCTACCAATTGCTAACGCCAGTAAACTTTGGATATTGGATGGAAACAAGTGTAAATTTTTGGGCTCAGTACACGTTGTAAATGCAAGTCACAGACTTATATTGGGTGTTGTTGTCGCAGTGTAGTTAAAAACTCAAAAACGAATGGATCATGTGCTTGTCATAAATTTCTTTCATTTTTTAGAACGACAAAGATGTGTAATAAATCTGGCATAATAAATAGTCTCTGCTTCGAACGATGAACAAAAAGCTCTACACTGTGAGAACGATCAAATGGACTCTCATGATGACTGTGAATACATGTTTTTCGTTTTGAATTTCTGTTGCGTGAAGGTTACAGAAACAAATATATTTCTTATCGTATAATAGAAATGTCAAAGTCATAAATCAAGATGTGCTTGGCGGAGTAATTAACGCATTATTAATGGGGAGATGTAACGTACACGGTACAGAAAGTTGCATTAGGCCAAAATAGAATAGTGAACATAATTATAATTTTTTGTCACATGCTTTGCCCCATCGCCTTATTATGCACCAGTTTATTAATTTTTTACTTGCTTTTATTTCATTATGTATTTAATTTCTTATGACCACCGAGTCTGACCAAATTAAATTGTATATGCTTTAATTTTTTTTTCTTTCAACAGATGGCTATCATAACCTAAGAAGATCCCAATAAACCCGATCACTGTGGAACTAAGTCGACATGGAGGAGGGACAAAATATGCATAGTCTATAAAGATCTCATTTGGCTGTATATAAACTTATTTGGGTTGTAAACGTATATAAAGATCTCATTTGGCAGAAATGGAGGAGGCAAAATAAGCAGTCTTCATTTACAAATCAAACAGTCTTAACTCTTAAATGGCGAGAATGTCTCTCTACTATTATAATGCCATCACTAAAACAGAAGTAGTTAAAGAGCATAATAGTATCATTCACATGTGAAACTGAAAAGGTATATGTACGTAGTACTATATGGTTCTAGAATCTTCATTGTTGTTGATTTACTTTTTTGCAAAGGAGTTGCATCTTTTTTTGAACCACGTAGCGAATTGCATCAAGTTACCGAAATGATTTCCTTTCGTTTACTGGGGCACTGGCACATCGACTGATATAATAGTATGGGAAAAAAAATCGGCAACCTGAAAATTATTGTGAGTTTACACAAATCATGTATAGTCTACTAAATTTGCATAATCAACAAAAAAGTAGACAAACATATTATTTGTTCAGAGTTATGTTGATTCTTATAAAATTAATACAAAATAAATATTTCGTCACCAACCCATTCCTTTGTTAAAAGTTGTTGATTAGTAACGAATGTGTTATACAATTTGTATGAGAATCTAATTTAGAGAACATTTAATTGTCTACCAAAATTTTCAAAGTATGTTTTTCTTCTCAATTCTGAGAATGAGTACGATAATACAAACATATAGACGGTACCAATTTTATAAAACCATGCGTCATTCACCATATATAGAGTAAGTTAGAACAAAATATGCATTACAGGGTAACAATAGGGCATATGTATAAAAAAATAAATGAACTAGTACATTCGATGGACAAACACGCAAGAAATTTCCTTAACCTTGTTAAGTTCCTTTTTTTCTTGGACAACAAATATGAAAAGAGGAAAAAACATACGATGAACAAACACGCAAGAAATTCATGTAATAGCCTCGCAAGAAAAGAGGGACATCAAACAGTTAATCGTAGTAATCAATAAATGAAACAAAGGAAAATAAAACCTAATGGCAAAATCTTACATTGACGTTTTCAGGAATGGGTGCAAGATATTTATACCGCCATTTCTACGCACGCCATCCTCATATCACTACCGGGTCGATCAGTTTTTCTGAAACGTGATAAAACACCACTTGCGTTTCCTTAGACAAGATTAATGCGTTATAAATATCAATAGTAAAAAAATTCATCAGAAATAAGATGATTTTTATATAAAAAAATGACAAGATGAAACTTAAGAATATATGTAGGCAACTACACACTGGCAAAGAGCCTCTCTAGGTGAAAACGGGCTAACATAGGAGCACATGGTTTGCATAGCACGTTTTAATTTAAGTCTTTATCATAAAAATAAATTTTTAATTTAATCCCGTAAAATTTTAACCTCTGAGCGTTATAGTATATGTCTCTTCAAATTTATCGGTGGCTTCACTGAGATCTTTTCCATTTCCCACTCGTGGGGATAAGAATTCCCTGCCTTCCCGTTTTCACCTAGAGAGGTTAAAAGGAGACGTCTCCTCGGCTCTTCGACGAGTTTTTTTTTGTAAACATGTTAAATTTGTATATTACCATTTTCAAATTTATGACAGAAATTACAGAGACCAAACTAGTAGCAGACGACAACAACATTATATAACCAAATACCAGCTGCCTATCTCAGCTGGAAGGTGTTATCATCAATGCATTCAAACTTCGTCTTGAAGCCGCTGTCATTCGTTTGAAAATCTATCTTACTTAATATTCTTTGTTGTTGTAGTTTATGCTTATTATCCAAAAGGATATAAATTATCTTTTGCTATTGTATTCAAACATCTTAAGGAAAGTAAGTTGTAAGAAAAAATTCAAACGAATTTAATATCCGAAAATAGAGGTAACTCAATCAAAATAAGTGTGCCAAAAACAACTTTTATATTAAATACCGTTAAATAAAAAGTAAAAGCTTTATTGCAAAACAAAAACAAAGTAAATGGTGGTTAGCAAATAAGATTCATTTGAAATGTATCAATAATAACAACTTGCTATATTGAAAACCTTTCATTGTGAATCCGTATTTATCGAGACTTAATTCTTGGTGGTAATTTGGTTCACAGTTTTTTAATTAAACAAAAAGTGTAATAAAAGGTTATTAGAAAAAAAAAAACAGCGCAGCCAAATTAACCTTAAATTACGTGAAACAGATCATGAAATGAAATTACGAACACAACTTTGCATGGATATCTATAAATACCCCCGTGAACTATTTCATGCATGCATAATTAAGATCAAGCAAAAACAATTTCAAAAAGGAAACATTTCTAAAAAAATTATTATAGTGATAATAATGGGCAAGCTCTTATTGGTAATGTTAGTTGGTTTTTCCATGGCTTTCCAAAGCCCGGGAACTCTTGATTATGGAGATGCACTAAACAAGTCCATCTTGTTCTTTGAAGGCCAACGATCCGGAAAACTCCCGGTTAAACATCGTGTTAATTGGCGAGCTGATTCTGCCCTTTCCGACGGCTCACCAGATAAAGTAAACCGCATCTCATCAATAATTTGGCATAATTTTATCTCTAACCGATTTTTGATGTACCTTTATTGTTAAAAATTTTGAATTTTCCTTTCATTTTCCAGGTAAATTTGATTGGAGGGTACTATGATGCAGGTGACAACGTAAAGTTTGTGTGGCCAATGTCATTTACCATAACCTTATTGAGTTGGGCCGCTATTGAATACCAAAAAGAAATTTCCTCTGTAAACCAACTCGGTTATCTCCGGTCTTCTATAAAATGGGGAACCGATTTTATCATTCAGGCTCATACTGCTCCCACCACACTATATACACAGGTAAAATCCATTTTTATTGTTCAAAATCAAAAGTAATCATATCTTAACCATCCGAACCAAGACATTTTGGTATGTTCTCGTTAAAAACGCCGACCGGTCTGAGAAAAATCCAAGATTAATATTTCGCACTTTGTCAATACTCAATTAGTATGACAGTCGCACGTTAAAAAAATATAGACGGTTGCAATCTCAAGTTTATAAATTTTCTTATATATAAAATATATTAATATTTTTTTTTTAACTTTCACTAGATTTTTATGAAAATTATATTGAATTGTACACCCCTACCCTAAGTGGGATTCGTATGCAAATATCAAAATTGAATTAATTTCTTAAAATTGTTTTTATAATGGCCTTAAAGGTAGGAGATGGGAACGCAGATCATGCTTGTTGGGAGAGACCAGAAGATATGGACACACCCAGAACTCTCTACAAGATATCATCCTCTTCCCCCGGATCTGAAGTCGCCGCTGAAGCCGCAGCTGCTCTTGCCTCCGCCTCACTTGTTTTCAAATCGTTCGATTCTAAATATTCATCCAAGCTTCTAAGCCATGCCAAATCCGTAAGTATACTATACATACAATGAAACAAATGAATTTCAAAATCCCTTATGATCCTAAGATTCAATCATGAAGTCCTGTATATGCTTAGTTATTTGGTTTAACATAAGTTTTATATATTTTCTGCAGCTATTTGAATTTGCTGATCAGTGCAGGGGTTCATATCAAGCATCTTGCCCTTTCTACTGCTCACATTCAGGCTACAATGTAATAAACCCGTACTACACCGGTACACATGAATCAATAAATGGCTCAACCCAATCTCCAAATAAACTATACGAATACTTACATGCAGTATAAATGAATTACTTTTTGTATTGAGATAACAATGTACTTTATTTTCAAATTATTTTGTGGAAAAAGGATGAGTTACTATGGGCTGCAGCTTGGCTATACAAAGCAACAGGAGAAAATAAATACCTAAGTTATGTCATAAGCAATCAAGGTTGGAGCCAAGCCGTAAATGAGTTCAGCTGGGACAATAAATTCGCCGGAGCTCAGGCTCTACTCGCATCAGTTAGTATATACTCCTATATATATAAATATAAATCAAGTTCGTTAAAATTTTATAACAAGAAAATTTAGTTTGAACTTAATTAATACTTCTCATTTATTTTATTTTTTTTAAGGAGTTCTACAACGGGAAAAATGAATTGGGAAAATTTAAGAACGATGTTGAGTCATTCGTCTGTGCATTGATGCCAGGAAGTAGCTCTCAACAAATTAAGCCAACTCCTGGTAATTTTCACTGGTTATCTAGATAATCAAAAGATTGGTTTGTTTATTATTATATGTTTCAGTTGGTGTTAATTTTTATAATTATGTTTGTCTATATTTTTGGTTATTCAGGTGGCCTTTTGTTCACTAGAGACGGTAGTAACTTACAATATGCAACAACGGCTACAACTGTTTTGTTCCATTACTCAAAAACCCTGACAAAAGCCCGGGTAGGTTCAATCCAGTGTGGTTCAACCAAGTTCACGGTATCACAAATCCATGATTTCGCCAAATCACAGGTAATAAAATAAGCTACCATACTAGACTAGTTTTGTTTTGTGCACCATCATCCCATTTTTAACCGGTCGGTTTATTTCCAGGTTGATTACATTCTTGGAAATAATCCAATGAAAATGTCTTACATGGTGGGATTTGGGAACAAGTGCCCAACACAGCCTCATCATAGAAGCTCATCTTTACCGTCAATCAAATCTAAGCCGGACAAAATTGACTGCAAGGGAGGATATTCATACTACAATATTGATCAACCAAACCCGAATATGCATACCGGCGCAATTGTTGGCGGACCGGACTCATCAGATAAGTTTAGCGATAAAAGAACAGATTACGCCCATGCGGAGCCCACAACTTACATCAACGCCGCCTTTATTGGGCCCGTTGCAGCTCTGATTTGCCGGAAGCCTAACTAGAGCACCGGGAACAATTCTACCAGACAAACTCACTCTTAAATTTAGCTGTGCGCAAACCAAATCTTAGCAAATAAGAATATCACAACAACTATTAGACTACTAAGTTTAATATTTACTCAGGGAATGTATCATTTGCTTAAAAATATACGGACACGCACATATATCATTGTACATATAATAGCTTACTTAAAAAATGAAAACTATTCATTTGCATATATAAAAAATGAAAACGAATATAGCATGTCCTTATATTATTATAACAATCATTACCTCTGCCTACTCGATAGACTAATTATAATATTTGACATTTAAATAAACTATAGTAACATTTAGCTGTTACTAAAATTCTGCATAAATCATTAAGATCACGCGTCCATTTCAAACAATGGCTGACCACTTATTTGAATATAAATTCGTTGCCAATAATTGATTTAGAAAAATAGCTTTCACATTCATATGACTCCTAATGCGGCTGAGTGGGTGAGTTGTATACTGGTGACTGTAATGCATAATCGATATGCCTAATTAACTGTCTAGGCCGTCCAGAGGACACTTCCATAATAAATATGCATAGTAGATATGCCTTAGCGTCTAACGTTTAGGCGGCCTCTTTTTTACAACAGTGACAAATATGGACTTAGACGTCCTAGAAATATATTTGTAATTGAAATGTGAAACTTGGATAAAATCGGTGGTCTTAGCATTTATATGACGAGAAAAGAAAAACGAATTTTATTAGGTTAAATTCAAAAGTTAATCTGGAAACAAAACGAAAACTACGACGCTCTAATCTCCTATAGAGACAAGACATTTATACATTTTCTCAACGGCCGCAATATGTAACTATAATATAAGTTTGAATATATATTCATACACAGCTAACATTCTCTAATAATTCCATAAGTACCCATTGAGGAACTCTTGGCTATTCAATAGCTCATAGTCACCAGTAAAACTCGGATAATATCCGGTCCCCCACAACAAATCCGATGGTAAATTGGTACTCATGCCTTCCATTTCTTCGGTTGCTTGGTAGGTACTCATTTCTGAATTCCCCATGTCATGAACAGCAACGGGAGATTCATCAGTAGATGTGATCATGGGGTTACTTGCGGGAGAAGAAACCACTTGCTTTCCGGATTTTTTGGTTATAGTCGGTTTAGGTTGGGAAGATTTGGCTCGAGTTGAACCGGCTAATGAGTTTCTTCTAGTTGGCAGCTCATGATTGTGATCATTCGTATACGTTATGGTGAACTCCTCCGGGTTCTGAGGATTCCTTTCGACTTGTTTTCTTGCTAAACATCCCTTCGAGCTGCTGCACCTGTAGTAACTCCTGAAGAAAGTAAACAAAATTGGCGAGATTAAGTTAAACCGGTTATGTTTGGTAAAGAGTAAGAATAAGAATAAGATTAAACTAAACGGGGATTAGTTTAAAACCTTGGGTATGGAGATCCTTTGATGGGTTTCTGCCCGTATTTACGCCACGCCCATGCGTCCGACAACAGATTCTCTTCTTTCACTTGCTCAACAACTCTCTTCTGTTGGTTCTTCTTGCTGTCCAAATTCAAATCATAATATCTATTTATTTTTAAATTCAACAAGCAGCATGTATTCATGATACCTTTAGAAACAAGTTGGAGATTAATCATTTTAGTAACTATGTATAATACTATTTTTACATATGATAATAAAATATTCAAGATATTTTTTCTTTATCATTTTAAAGAACGTCAGGAACTTTAAATTAAACTAACCTCTTCTTCAATTTAGATTCTGGGATTCGAATATGGTCAACTCTTGATCCGTTAGATAAAAGACAACCATGTGTTCGTTGTTTCTTATCAACTTGGAAACTTCTTGAATCTTCGGGAACAGAGACGGAGTTCGTGAGGATAGTTTGTGTAGAGAAAGGATAAAAAGGTTTGTAGAGTTCACCGAGTTCATCTAAACCGGTTGTCTCCATCTCCGGTTCGTAGAAACTAGCCGTCTCGAATGGGAGGCAAAACCCGTCTGAGCTTTCTCCGGAGCCAGAGTAGCCTCGGACGATTGCTTCTAAGTCTCCTTCGTCCATATAAGCCACCTCACCCATTTCTTTTTCTCTCTTCGAGATTTTGTTTCCTCTTTTATCTTATTTTTGCTTTGACAACTATATGGCGAGAAAATGCCTTTTGGGCAACATCGGTTTATATAAAGAAGGAAAAAGTGTGGACTGTTTGTTGTTTAGGGTTTTCTTCGTTTCCCATGTAAACCCGTTAGTCATTTAGCTTTTACAATTTATTGAGTAGACTTTTGAAAAAGTCAATTCGTACCTAAAATTAGATTTTAATTCATTTGTGTTTACTTGTCAAAATATCCATCTCCGACAAAATATCTCAAATTATCATTTAAACTCCAAAATTCAGAAAATCCATATTGACAATATCAATGTCTTTTTGAAGTATATACAGTTAGAGAGAATTTAAATATCATTGCTTTTACCAAAATTAAATATTGAAAGCGGTATTTGTACATGCATGTATGACGTACACAGTACACTAGCATTTTTATATATAAAATGGTGTTGTCACTAGTTTCAAACTTGTAAATTATGTGTGTGTTTAATGTGGACCTGTGGTACATAAGTCTAGCTTACCCTGTGTACACGTAACGACCAATTGGATGAAAATAAATATATTTACAGAATAGGGCCGCGAATATGATCTCCATTAGAAGCGTCTTTTGATCAACTATTTTTTTTTCAAAAAAACGCTAAATTTGAGAGGGTATTATCACTTTATCTTAAGCCTTGTGGTAATATGTAGTTTGGTCCAAGAACCCACGCCTCTATATTAGAATAGGGAAACCTTTAAGAACAATATCTTCCAACTAAGACTAAAGAAAGATTCTCCAATAATATCTTTTTCTTTTGCCTGTTCTATTTTCTTTTGATTATAGTTACGAATTCTTATTTGCGTTTAGATTAACACGCTTAACTATTATCTGAAGATGCAGTTTGCGGAGGTGTTCTGTATCAGTTCGTGAAGTACTACAGGAGGTAGTACATGTGTGTATGTCATGAAGATGGGCTATGCTGGAGTTCGTGTTGCTTGATTAGCGTGGACTTCTTCGGATTGGAAAAGGAAAGAAGATATGTGTTTGAAGACATATGGACGTTTTCCATAAAGCAAAAGGAAGTTTGCTTGAAGATGAAGTTTTCCATTAAAGATATGGAAAGTTACCTTATGTGTATTGGAAAGACTTGGAGAGCAAGTGGAAGACTTGGAGAGCGGGTTGAAGACGTGGAGAGTAAGTTCTGGTCTTATATATTAAGGAAGACGTGCCTTATGAGAAAGGAGACCTCACAGAAAAGAGAGAGGGGTTTCATTGTATATTGGGTTGTGTTGTTGCTTGGTGTCGAAGGACATTCTGAAGCAGTTCGTGATGGAGTCTGATGTGGACTTAATTTGATGGCGTTCGTGGTGACGTTTTGTGTGGTGGAGTTAGCCATCGTGTGTAGCTCGTGGTGAGCGTGTGGTGCGTTGGAGATGACGTGCTCGTTGTGTCACTGGTGTGCGTTGGGTGCTGACGTACTTGGTGAAGTACTTCCGAGAAGTGGAAGATTGAAGCCTAGACTCAGGGGGAGTTTAGCAAAGACGGTTTTATTGAAGAGATCTGTGAAGATTGCAGCTGTAGAAGACAGTGTGCTCTGGCGCGCCCAGATGGTGTTGTATGCATGAGTGCTGATACCTAATCTTTGTAGATTGCTTCTTAGAAAAGAGTGGTAAACACTAGTGTGTGTGTTGTACCATATAGCAATCGTAGGTTGCTTCTTGTTCTAAGTCAATAAAATCTGGACGAGGTCCCGGGGATGTAGGAAACGAACCCCGTTAACAAATTTGATGTGTCTTACTTTTTGCACTATGTTTTTCGTCGCCTCATCTACATCAACAATTGGTATCAGAGCGGGTCACCTAAGTTACTGGTGAGATCATGGAGGATGAGGATGAAATATGGTTCAGGAAGTGGGACAGAGTTTGTATGAAGATCTATGAAGATGGTGTCATGCGATTTCTTCATTGGTTTGGAAAGCAGTGATCTTCAAATTGGTTTTTGACCATGATGTGACTCATAGGGGGAGATTGAAGACGTGGATTTCAAGCTCGTTGTAATGAGTGCACATGCATAGTCAAAAAGGGGGAGATTGAAGATGCAGTTTGCAGAGGTGTTCTGTATCAGTTCGTGAAGTACTACAGGAGGTAGTACATGTGTGTATGTCATGAAAATGGGCTATGCTGGAGTTCGTGTTGCTTGATTAGTGTGGGCTTCTTGGGATTGGAAAAGGAAAGAAGATATGTGTTTGAAGACATATGGACGTTTTCCATAAAGCAAAAGGAAGTTTGCTTGAAGATGAAGTTTTCCATTAAAGATATGGAAAGTTACCTTATGTGTATTGGAAAGACTTGGAGAGCAAGTGGAAGACTTGGAGAGCGAGTTAAAGACGTGGAGAGTAAGTTCTGGTCTTATATATTAAGGAAGACGTGCCTTATGAGAAAGGAGACCTCACAGAAAAGAGAGAGGGGTTTTATTGTATATTGGGTTGTGTTGTTGCTTGGTGTCGAAGGACATTCTGAAGCAGTTCGTGATGGAGTCTGATGTGGACTTAGTTTGATGGCGTTCGTGGTGACGTTTTGTGTGGTGGAGTTAGCCATCGTGTGTAGCTCGTGGTGAGCGTGTGGTGCGTTGGAGATGACGTGCTCGTTGTGTCACTGGTGTGCGTTGGGTGNATTGTATATTGGGTTGTGTTGTTGCTTGGTGTCGAAGGACATTCTGAAGCAGTTCGTGATGGAGTCTGATGTGGACTTAGTTTGATGGCGTTCGTGGTGACGTTTTGTGTGGTGGAGTTAGCCATCGTGTGTAGCTCGTGGTGAGCGTGTGGTGCGTTGGAGATGACGTGCTCGTTGTGTCACTGGTGTGCGTTGGGTGCTGACGTACTTGGTGAAGTACTTCCAAGAAGTGGAAGATTGAAGCCTAGACTCAGGGGGAGTTTAGCAAAGGCGGTTTTATTGAAGAGATCTGTGAAGATTGCAGCTGTAGAAGACAGTGTGCTCTGGCGCGCCCAGATGGTGTTGTATGCATGAGTGCTGATACCTAATCTTTGTAGATTGCTTCTTAAAAAAGAGTGGTAAACACTAGTGTGTGTGTTGTACCATATAGCAATTAGGAGCACTAGTGTTTACCACTCTTTTCTAAGAAGCAATGATAAACACTAGTGTGTGTGTTGTACCATATAGCAAAGAGTTGGTACAACACACACACTAGTGTTTATACCTAATCTTTGTATCATATAGTAACAATGGTAAACACACACTAGTGTATCATATAGCAATGGTAAACACTAGTGTGTGTGTTGTACCATATAGCAAAGAGTGGTAAACACTAATCTTTGCAGATGTCTAGGATGTAGTGTGTGTGTTGTACCATATAGCAATTAGGAGCAACCTACAATTGCTATATGGTACAACACACACACTAGTGTTTACCACTCTTTTCTAAGAAGCAATCTACAAAGATTAGGTATCAGCACTCATGCATACAACACCATCTGGGCGCGCCAGAGCACACTGTCTTCTACAGCTGCAATCTTCACAGATCTCTTCAATAAAACCGCCTTTGCTAAACTCCCCCTGAGTCTAGGCTTCAATCTTCCACTTCTCAGAAGTACTTCACCAAGTACGTCAGCACCCAACGCACACCAGTGACACAACGAGCACGTCATCTCCAACGCACCACACGCTCACCACGAGCTACACACGATGGCTAACTCCACCACACAAAACGTCACCACGAACGCCATCAAACTAAGTCCACATCAGACTCCATCACGAACTGCTTCAGAATGTCCTTCGACACCAAGCAACAACACAACCCAATATACAATNCACCCAACGCACACCAGTGACACAACGAGCACGTCATCTCCAACGCACCACACGCTCACCACGAGCTACACACGATGGCTAACTCCACCACACAAAACGTCACCACGAACGCCATCAAACTAAGTCCACATCAGACTCCATCACGAACTGCTTCAGAATGTCCTTCGACACCAAGCAACAACACAACCCAATATACAATGAAACCCCTCTCTCTTTTCTGTGAGGTCTCCTTTCTCATAAGGCACGTCTTCCTTAATATATAAGACCAGAACTTACTCTCCACGTCTTTAACTCGCTCTCCAAGTCTTCCACTTGCTCTCCAAGTCTTTCCAATACACATAAGGTAACTTTCCATATCTTTAATGGAAAACTTCATCTTCAAGCAAACTTCCTTTTGCTTTATGGAAAACGTCCATATGTCTTCAAACACATATTTTCTTTCCTTTTCCAATCCCAAGAAGCCCACGCTAATCAAGCAACACGAACTCCAGCATAGCCCATCTTCATGACATACATACATGTACTACCTCCTGTAGTACTTCACGAACTGATACAGAACACCTCTGCAAACTGCATCTTCAATCTCCCCATTTTTGACTATGCATGTGCACTCATTACAACGAGCTTGAAAGCCACGTCTTCATTATCTACACAGAGATATTCAAATGTTGATCATAAATTAGTTTGAATTTATAAACTCAAACAAAATAAAATGTTATGTTGATAAAGGCCAGTGTATCATATTCGCAACAGAGACTTGTTAAAATTTTAATTATATTGACACTTATTATTAGCTTCTACATATATTGTTTATAAAATATTTCTGGTATTTTGTACGAAGCTCTTAAAGTTTTTCGATCCATTATGAATTGCTGATAGCCTTTTCTTTTTAGGGGAGGGAGAATGGAAGTTGGCACGGGTGACTGCAGTCTCATAAAAGGCAATAAGAAAGGGTAAATAACTCAAAGTCAACAAATAAACAATAAAAATATTGAGAAAATCCGTTTAAAAGGAATATTAGTCAGCTTGCTCTTGCAACTGGGAAGAAATTTTCTTCCCCTCTTGCACCAACTTGACAGTCTATTTATACATTTCGACACATACACAATAATGATGCGTCTCCGTCCAATATCTAAATTGCAATATTGTTTTCACTTTAGCAGTTTTTAAA